AAAAAAAAAAAAAAATCTTGATGTTTCTACCTTTATCTGTGTGACCTTGGATAAGCCACTTGCCTCTCTTAGTGCTGCTAAGACCCAGTCCTGCACCTGGCCATGCCTCCAGGGAGGGCACACTCCAGTGGTTGAGTTGGACACAAAACAAATACACACGAAAGAGCATAAAAGCAGATTGTGGCAAGTACTATCATGGAAAAGAACAAATTATAAAAAAGAATACCCAGCAGCAGATATTTTTGAAGACAATCAAGCTGGATATGGCCTGAGTAGATTATGTTAAGGAATTACTACTGGGGTGGTAAAAATCAAGGTTATGTTCGGGTCCTATGTATTAGAGACTCATGAGCTAGTATTTACAGGCAAAATTGTCTGAGATTTTGGATTTGCTTTAAAATACCCAAGCCAAAAATAACTGGTTGGGAAATTAAAGGCAGAACTTTTATGATTTTTTTAAGTAGATGATGGGTACACAGGGATACTGTGCTATTCTGTCCATGTATGTGTTTGATAATTTCTATAATAAAATATTTCAAAAGAAAGAAACAACAGTGGCAAAAGAGGGCCTCATTTCTGCTGGGTAGTCAGAGAAGACCTCTGACATTTGGGCTAAGACTTCCCCTTCAGGTTGGGGAAGAGGAAGCTAAGGAAGGATAAATGGAGGAAATGCATTCCAGGCAGAGGGAAAGGCATGTGCAAAGGGCCTGAGGCAGGAAAGGATCAGCATGTTCGAGAAACTGATAGGGAGCAGTGTGGCCAGAGCACAAGCAGTGTGGCCCCTCCTTAGCTACCTGACTGCAGTGGGGCCAGAGGTGGCTCTGGGGGAAAGGGGACAATCCAGCTGTCCACTGGGCTCGGGCCCCAGAACTCACTGCAGAAGGCTGTACAGGTGTGCTGGTTCCGATGGCTGCAGGTCGGTTTGCAGGAGATGCAGGTTCGCACCAGAGGGTCCCAGTACTGCTCTTCAGGGCAGGACCCCATGGCCATCCTATCCACAGGCCCTGTGGAGCTGAGAGATCAGGAACGTGAGGAGTATCCTGGGGCAGGTGGCAGCAACCTGACCTCTGCTTCTGCCTGGAGCCCTGGAGCCTGCTCACCTTCCCACACACATTCTGTCTCAGCAGGCAGAGGAGCCAAAGCTGGCTGCTGACCCAGCTGCATGACCAGCATTGTGGGGCAGCCACCTCACCCCTCGGAACCCTGGTTTCCCTATCTGTGAACCAGCAGTTCTGAGCCTTCCAGCAGTGCCCTGTGCCACCCCTGCCCTCTGTCTCAAGGCGCCACACCTCTGTCTGCCATACGACCCTCACAGTCCTCCCCTTTGCATAAGGCCCTCTTCACCCCTAACCCCCGTCCTCGGCTGGCTATTTCCTCTTCATCCTTGAGATCTCTTCTTTCTTTTCTTTTCTTTCCTTTCTTTTCCTTTCTTTCTTGAGACAGAGTCTCACTTTGTTGACCCCAAAGTGCAATGATGTCACAGCTCACAGAAACCTCAAACTTTTGGGCTCAATCTATTCTCTCACCTCAGCCTCCTGAGTAGCTGGGACTATTTTTAGAGATGGGGTCTCACTCTGGCTCAGGCTGGTCTTGAACCTGTGAGTTTGAGCAATCCACCTGCCTCGGCCTCCCAGAGCGCTGGGATTACAGGTATGAGCCATCTTGCCCAGCTGAGAGCTTTGCTTAAACTTTAGTTCCTCATGGAACCTACTCTGACCTTGCCCTGATTAGGACATAGCCCTCCTGCACACTCACAGCATCGTTTGTCACTGTGGCCACTTTCTTCTTTATGTATGACTCTTTGTTCCTGGGTCCTGCACTGCGTGTCACCTGGCAGGGACTGCACCTAACTCATGTTTACTGCCGGGTCCTTGGTGCCTGGCTAGTGCTGGAGATGGACAGGTGCCATTAAATGAATGGAGTTTTAAAAAGCAGACCCAATCAGTGCCTCTCATACAGCAAAGACTCACTAAATGCCAATTTCCTTCCCTTTTTCTTTTTTACTGAGGTGTGAAACGTGCACAGTGATGCGTGATATGTACAGCCAGGGGAGATCTCACACATGCACACACTGTGTCCTGGCATCCACACGGAGACTGAGGACATCTCCTGCATTCCCTGGGCCCTCCTGTCCAGTGCCCATTGTCAGAGGTGACTGCTACTGGGCTCCTTGTTGCCACAGGCTAATGCTGCCTGTTTTTCACCTGCTGTGTCTGTGCCACTCAAGACCTGAGACCTCGGCTCGGCGCCTGTGGCTCAAGTGGCTAAGGTGCCAGCCAGCCATATACACCTAAGGTGGTGGGTTTGAATCCAGCCCAGGCCCGCCAAAAACAATGATGGCTGCAACCAAAAAATAGCCAGCGTTGTGGCAGGCGCCTGTGGTCCCAGCTACTTGGGAGGCTAGGCAGGAGACTCGCTTGAGCCCAGGAGTTGGAGGTTGCTGTGAGCTGTGATGCCACGGCACTCTACCCAGGGGGACAGCTTGAGGCTTTGTCTCAAAAAA